TCACCCTGCGTGTCAGAGGTCCGGCAGAAGACTTGCACGGCAAAACAAAGGCCGTGGACAGTACCCTCACCCCCAGGGTGGGGGCAAGCTTATGCCGATAGGGGTCAGAAGAGGAAAAATGACTACCTGTTATCTCATCCTCAGGGTGATGGCCCATCCCACTGGGGTGATATAGTATAATAATGAAAATACAGCAATGAATTTTTTTTTGTACTTGATAATGGAGAGGGGCGGCGAGTACTCATTATCCCTCCGACTCACAGGGTGAGTGTATTATGTTAGGAAGCAAGTCAATAGCATCAGCCAGTGCAGTATTGTTGTCATTTAAGCCCGTATGGAATATATTCACGCTTAACTGTGTATCTTTTCTTCAGTAAAGGGCAAAAGAATGAAAGTAAGATTGACGTGCTTTATTGGACCAAGCATGGTAAAGTGATATTTGAGACCCTATTAAGACAACAATATATGGGGGTTAGTACATCAGTCAGCTATTAGATGGTTCTAAGGTTACGTCCGTTGTTTATTTTGTAATCTTAGTGAAATGATGGCGTCTGTAGTTGGTCTATGGCTTTTTCCTGCATGGACAGTTTCGAAACACACTCCCACACACTCCCACACACACACACACACACACAGAACCCATGATCAATGCTATAGAGGATCCATTGATGTCAATCTGTGAATGTGACTAAATAATTAAGAAATAATTGGTTTAAGACTGAGATAACGTGATACCAATTAGCTTGAACAATTATTAGGATAATCAGTTCTATCCGTTTCTGCACATTTCACAAATTTTCTTCTCAAAATTACCACTATTCCACAATCAATAACATTCTAAACAGCTGATTATTGATATTATGCTGAGAATATTGATAAACCCAATATTTCTACACGGACATTTTTTCGCTTGTTCTTGTTGTTTTACAATAACGTGCCTCTGAAGAAATGGCATTTTATTCTTAACACAGAGGACAATTTAATGTCAGCGTCTCGTAAATTCAGGGTAAGCGTCTAAGCTAGTATCTCCTTTTCTGTGTAATGAACCTAATCAATTTGGCAAAGAGTAGCTAGTAGTAAACACGGTTGGTTGATGGCATGTCTATACCGTTTCTCAGAAATATGAAAGTGAATGGAGAAAATACAAACAAATTGTGAGGGGCGCTGTAAGAAAGATGCAACCTCTCTGTTGTTTTTGTGCCTTTTGTTTTTGTAGCTGATTCTAATTTCTACGAAGAATGTTTCGGGGTATTGAAGCAATTGTGAAAGGCCAATGTTACACAGACTCGAAACGCTACGCATTTCCCGGTAAATGAAAAAAGGTAGAATTGATTTAAATAAAATATCACAGAGAGCCGTTTGTGAAGCAAGAAGGTTAACAGGGGCTTTTGAGTAATGTTCTGATTGACAAGTGCATGGGTGGATGGACTATATTAACGTCGAGGCTGTTTTGGTCTTTAAAAATTCTGATTCATGCTTGACATTTTCAACAAAAAGTCGACTGACAGACACCATGTTCATTGAGACAGCGTTTCTCCTTAAACAAAAATAAGAAAGAAAGAAAGAAATAGATATATAGATGGATATATATACAAACGACGAAACAAGCAGTAATCCTGAATGGGGGGACACGTTTGTGTTACTTCTAGCGCAGTTTCCAGTCAAAACATCGTAAACATCAAACAATTAAATGCCGTTTCCGCAATGTAAAATAACGAAACGTACATTTAAGATGTGCGAGGGTTCAAACTGACACAGAAAGACATAAAATACCAAGAACGACAGCTACATCTGACGGGAATGCAGAATGAGTTATGTATTGGTTATATGAAATTAATGAATCCCTTTGTGTCTGACATGTCATCAATTGATAAAGAGTTATGTTCTGTTCATGCAACATTCATCAAACGCATCGTGAAGGCAGCCCTCTTGCATTGTTTTCCTGTAAGGTTGTCTCTCTCTCTCTCTGTGTGTGTGCGCGCGCGCGCTCGTGCACACTTCTTTGCAGTGCATATGCTGTAGTCCAAGTCATCAGAATACTAGTCGTTGCTGCGAACTTCCGTTTTCTTTCCATGAAACCTCTATTGCACTGTGGATGCCTTGCTGCGAAAAAAATCAATTTGCAGTCCGTTCACAGCTAAATAGAGATATCTCCAGATAGATTTTATTCAATCCTTTCAGTGGATGGATAAAAATAATTTTGAGCAAAGATAAAATTTACAAACAAAACTAAAATTTTATAAATCAATTAAAAGCACCGTTTTCTGGGGCCAGATCTAAAGTTACATGTATCTACTAAATTAAACAATGTTTATGTATGTGTATACCTGAAATCCCTGGAGATCGGATATATCTGCATAAAAGCTGTCATGATTCAACTCTGCGCTAACATTAACCTTACATGTTGTAATCATTACGCTAAAGTGAAGTTACTAATACCGAGTAATAATCACCGTTGAATCATCGCCACAGTTTACATTTGCCCTGAAAGAGAACTCGTGCAGCGTGCCACTACGTTAAAAAGACCCAGATTGTTTTAAGTGTGAGATAAACGCAGGCTGTTTTTGACGTGTGTTACTGTGATAACGATGACAGTTAAATTAGCCAGTCTCATTTTGACGCGGGGACACCCTGGCAGTCAACGGGTGACAGATTGATCTTCCATTTGGAGCGACTGTATTTTTTATGAGTAGATGAAGGGAGTTTCAGTATGGGGAAAATGCTCCTATCTTTTGGTTGCCGCATACATTCACAAACAAGAGCGCGGGTTTCAGAGAGCGCAGACACCTCGTCTTGGACTCTCACGCTCTCAGGGAATTCAGCAAGTTGTAACTCGATTTGCATATCCATATTGCCCTAATCAAGATGAATGGATCGACGATGCCATTGTTTTCCAATATGTTCTTTTTGAGCCAGAAGTTCTTATACTTGTTTGGTGTAATTATTGGAAGGTATAATCGCCACAACCGTAACCTCTGTAAAACGGGTCGCAGATGTAATTAATCTAATCCCCCCCGAGAGACTGTGTTGCCGTTTCTCTCCTGAAATTTGAATGCGTTTCAGAATTACCTTTGTGGAGCGTACCATTAAACAGAAGATAATAGAGAAAAACATATTTTCACAGCCGTAAAAAAGAGCATAAAATCGATAAATACATTTTAGCTATCTAGGTGCGCTAATAAAGGGAACTTGGCTAACCAGAGTTTGCAGAAAACATATTTCACTCTTTTTGTCGACGCTTACATAATAGTCCTTAATAATTCAGATGCAGAAGACTAATCGTCAAAGCTTCCCTGGGCAAAAAGATAATGTTCTGTAGGCAATTAATAGCTTCAACGGGCATTTATTTGCACCGGTGGAATATTAGTCATAAAGGAATTCAAGGCGTGTTGGTCAATTCAAATCTATGCATTTTCACTATGGATAAACGGTCAAAATGAATCTTTGTTTGATCTTGTGTCCGAGAAAAAACTAAAATTAGAGCTCCGTGACAGGCAGACACAGGATATGGCTTGGACAAATTACCAGTACAACTTACATCTTGGATCTTCACCTAAACATACTCGAATCCTCTCATTGTTTTTTTTTTTTTTCAGTTTTTTCAATTAGAACGCTGCCTTTAAATGTTTACAAATTGAAGAGCAAAGGAAATAGAATGCTGGTGTATAACAAATTAACATGCTAAAACATATATATAAGCAAATAAAAAAGAAACAAAGAAAATTTTGCAAAGCAGCTATGTTTATACCATTTTTTTCAATATTACATTAACTAAAAGAGGACACAAAAAGTAAAGAACAATAAATTGTACTTCATAATGGAAATGCTGAAGCATGTTTATAATTTTCAGTATTGTATAATATAATTTGTCATTGTTTTATGTAATTGTTGGGTAATGGACTTTGTAAAAAAATAAATAATTAAAAAAAAAAAAAAAAAAAACAGAACAAATTAAGACTGACTGAAAGATTATTTTCCTAAATTTCTTTAATACACATAGGAATGCAGAAAATACAATCATTTCACCCCAATTATGAGATAATCAAAATCAAAACAATATATAACAATTAAAATATAACAAACAAAAAACAGATTAAACATCACAAAGTCACTTTGGTAAGAAAAATTAAAAACAACCAATTGCAAAATCTAAATAATCATTATATTTATATATATATATATATAAACCATTTGCAAAATCTATATAATCAATATACCTTTAACAATGCAAGAACTATAAACACGAAAAAAAAATCCAAAATCCAGAAACATCTGAGCCTGCACTTCACGTAATGTGCAGATAATTGGAAAACTAAACAAAGGCCATACATCATATTACACATCTGTGCCTAACAGAAATCTATCAGCCTGATCTCTTTCTCTCACCTACAGCTGGCAGAAAGTTATACAGTGCATGTTTACTGCAGGTTTTGTCACTGTGCCTGAAGTGGTATTACTAATGAGAAATCAGTCAGCATAGGTGTGTGTGGATGCAAGCCTGAGCATGTGCTAGTGTGTGCATGCGTGGTAGCATCAGAAACTGCCCTCCCTTCCTCATGACTGTACCCCGTATGCACTGCGCATGCATGCTTGATGGAGAGTGCATGCACATGCATGTGTGACTATGCTCCTTTTTGAAAAATGAATGAAAATAGTTACAAAAATAACAAAGCCACTTTAAGCACTGTAAAATAACCTTAAATGCACTAAAGTATGGGAATGGGGTGTGGAAATATTTGGGAGTGGCGTTTGAAAAATTGTGCACCCCGATTTTCTGATGTGACAGTAACAATATATTATCACATTTAGTCTTTTAAATGAAAGAGGTTCTGGAAAATAACCTGCCTTACAAAATTATAAAAGTACAAAACAGTTGTAATGAATACCACATAAAAACCAGATACAGAAAATATGAAGATAAAACCAATATATCTAAAAAAAGTTTTTCAGCTTTTTAAATCTGTTACTTGTAGGTCTAGTTGTAGATTTAAAAAAAAAAAAAAAAAAAAAAAAAAAAACTAGCAAACATTTGTTGTATCAACTGAATGTCTGATTATACTACAGAGCTTATAAGATGTAATAGTATTAAACACTGTTTTTTTTTTTAATTGTCATGTAAGTGTATCTTTCTTGACACAACTTTATCTGAACCCTAATCCTCCTACTCTTGTACGTGGGCGCCATCTTTTGCCCAAATTACTTGAATCGGGTTTGGCATCTTCAGTGTACTGCTCTGCAGCATTTAGACATGACTGTAGGAATTTAAATTGCTGAAATACAAATAAAAAAAGGTGTAAATGAATCTACTCTAACTAAAATTTTCACACAGGCTGAGACAACATTTTAAAAAATTTGACAAAAATGTTTAAAAAAATATTCAGGCCAATAAATTAAATTTAAGAGCGGTAACAAGTTGTAAATATAAAAATGTTATAAAATGGCTTTTAAAAACTATATGAAATTTAGGCAGGGTTCTCTTAAACCTGGTCAGTCACTCAAAAATTCTGTACCAACTTTGGCCTCCTTCATCATTTTGGTCAAAAATATCATTTGCAACTTTCTATTAATTTTTTTTTGGTCTTTATTCCATACTTGAATTGTGTTTACAGTTTGTGCATATACAAGCTTACGTCTTCTATCCATAACTTGTCACCCATGCATTTGATAATAATGTCACTGGATTCATCATCAGGGAACCTCTTCTGCATCTTTTTCACCTTAAATAAAACCCATTAGAAAGAAAAATTGTGATATGAACAATATACCTGGCTATTATGGGTAAAAACACCATGAGGTTCCTTGATTACTAAAAACTTATCTCAAACTGGAGAGGGCACTGACATATTAAAACTGGAAGTTACGCTCAAAGTATCTTTGAAACTTAGGAAGTTAGGGCGATGTGAAAACACCATAAATCAGAACTCTAGACAACCTGGGGTCTGCATGGAGGTTTTAAAGATTCAGACCAGTAAACCCGGGCATGGTATGATCACCTCTGTCTCAACACAAAGGCAAGAACACACCTAACAATCACACATTCATTTTTTGCCATGCCTAAATCAAGTCACGTTTATAGTCACACAAAGAGGAATTTGTGGCAAGATTCAGACCAGTAAACCCTGGCATGTTATGTAATATCTCTTCCCTAACACACACACACACACACACGCACACGCACACACACACACACACACACTGACATGCTTTCATAAAAAGAACCCACCTTTTTTCTACAAGCCACCATCAAGTCATATTTGTAGTGATATAAACAGTGGTACAGAGACGACCTTGTGGCACAGTGCCTTCCAACCTCAAAGATGGACCCATTGGCTGGATTATCCCCCTAAAAATTAAACTCACTGTGCTTATATGCCATTAAAATGTTCTATCTTAGGGAAGCTAACAGGTATTCAACTTGCAAGTTAATGACTGCCTAGATGGCACATGTTAATGAATCTTGTGAGATCACATTCAAACCTTGTGACTGACTGCTCAACATCTGTAGCCAGCATGCAATGATGTCTTATTTTGAATATGTAGGAGTTAATTACTTAAACCACTCAGTTAAACCTCAAAACTGAAGAAAAATAACTCAGATCATTACTGTTCATTAAGGAAACTAAAAAAAGTCACTTGGACTTTTTAACCTTAAAACTGCAACCACTGAGAAAATAAATTGACATTTACCCTGTACTTTTCTTCTCCACTGTCACTGCTGTCACTTTCCTGTTCCTCTTCCTCCCCCAAAGGTTGTAATGTGACCTCGTCATACATGTTCCCTGTAAACAAGATGTCCCTTGTGGCAGGATGATCTCTACGGTTGCAAGCCTTTTCATAAAAAAGTAAACCTTTAAATTGATATTTTTGCTTTGAAAAACTTTACATGAAATATTAGTTTTTGTGAACCATAAGGATTTACATAATAATTTCTTGTGGTCATGGTAACATGCACTAATTTACTCAATCAAAATCTCTCCAGATATCAGCATTCTCTATAGCCAAAGTGTTACAATATCAATTTTCACATGCTGAATAAGCTCATACTTACACATGACACATTACATATGATTAATGAGACAATTTATCTAGCTGAACAGATTATAATTTTGGTTCTAGGAAAATCAGAACATATGATAATTTGTCTAATTTTAAACTGATCAGTGAAAAAGTGAAAAGATTTATACAGTTTGATAACAGTGTCTCCAGTGTTGTTGTAAGCAAGTATTAGCCTTTCTTCAAACTGAAGACATATTTCCATTGTGTGAGGTATGGTGTAAGGTGGGAGGGGGAGCTGTGGTGGGGGTCCAGTGCTAATAGAAAACTTGTCAAGATGAGATTCAGGATTGACCAAAGAATCTCACCAAGCACACTTTCTCTGATACTAACCTATATGGGCAGGCAAGTCAGTATTATTTTTATTATAAGAGAATATAAGAGATAACGCAGAGGATAATAAATAACTCAAGTACCATCTTACCTCACAATCGGTTGTTGAATAACTTAAATCGCTTTCTTTCATACGAGGATGGCTCTCCAGAGCTTCCTACATACATAAAAAGAAAGCAAAAGAAGTAAATATGATTGAACAATAAATAAACTAGCAATTTAAGAAGCCAATGTCCTGTCCTTTAGCCCTAATAGTGATCTCAATACAAGGAGTTTGTAGGCTGGTTAAACCATTGAGAACAAAGTCTAAAACAACACCCTGATATTCACCCTGTATGCCCTGCCCCAGGCCTGGCTGTCCACTATGACTTTCCTGGCATGAACTTCATCAGAAATCTTCTGGAACGCAGGGCGAATGACAGAATCTGAAAGATGATTTTAACACGACATCAGAACAGAAAGACCCGAAATAGGGCATTTTGGAGCAATAAGATTTTGTCTCTCAATGAAGAAATTCACTTGTGTTAAAGTAAAAAATAAATTCAAAAGTCACCAGTGTTGTTCAATAATATAATAGAAGGTAAAAGCAGAATATTTCATATAATGCTCCAAGTTGTATTTTAAACTGTAAGTGACTTTTTCAAATGTGGACCTGTTAGTAATATCTAAAATACAACAGTAAGACTTTGTGCCAGGGACAGATTATGCACCTTAAAAACTTCAAAATAACTTCATGCCACAGACACCATCAATAGCAATACAAATATATAAAATATTTGAAATAATGAAAAAACTTGATAAAAACTCACTATGATTTTCCAGATTCCAAGGATGTAAAAATTCAGGATCGAATACAGCATTAAGTAACATCTCCAAAACCAACATGAATGCTTCATAGGTGGTCAGCGTGGTCTTCCAAGGCATCTGGAGAGCAAAATTAAAAAACTATGTATAAATATAGGGACGGACCAGATATATTTTCTGATAGTCTTCCAAATAATCTTTGTTGTTCCATCCTCCATATTTGAGTCTACCTACAGAAAAATTACTTTTATAGATAGTTGTCATGTAATCCATATTTCTACCCCAGTTATATCAGTGTTGTGATTGCCTACCTCAGCGGTCTTGTGGATGTCTGTGAAGTTGTCTTCTTCATCTGATGCATCAGATTCTGGGTCAGAACTTGAATACAATAAATGAAAGAGAATTTAAAGACAAAAAATAAAAGTTTGGAAGTAAAATATAAAAAAAGAAGAAAAATACAGTGTTACAATATGTACACTTTGAATAGGTTGTAACTTTCTTACTTGAATTATTGTAAATATCTGACTTGAATTTTCAAATATGAAATAAGTATATAGCTTAACAACTATCATTTCCCTATTATGTCAGTTAAAATATCCATTGCTTATTGGCACAAAAATTGTTGGAAGTTTAAAAAACTTGTTAGCCCATAATGTAAATACTTGACTTAAATATGTAAAAAATCATTACTCTGCTATATCAAATGAAATATCTGAAGGTTCTTGGGCATTAAAGATGTTGTCAGACTTGGCGTACCCACATATTAGAAGCAATATTAGCAGTTCTTAATATTGAATGGAAAATTTTTAATAATTCCATTCTAAAAAGGAATGAGTCTTCAGCTGTTACCTAGACGAAAGCATCTTTATGCTATCTGAATCACTGACTTCTGCTCCACCATTCTCATCTTTTTCTTCATCCTCATCATCATCTATCACTGGCTTTTTGCTGTGCTTCAAAGAAACTTTTTTTGTTGGAGAAATCTCTTCCTTTTCTTCCTCCCCTTCCTCTTCTATTTCAATTTCTTCTGTATCAGACACTATAAAACCTGACTGACTGTCTTCATCGGTGTCATCTTCACTGGTTTTTATCTATAAGGTCAAAAGAAGCCAGAGCAACATTTATTTCTTTTCAATCACAAAAATACTGAAAATAAAGCTCTGCATGAAAAACAACCCAAAGGTTGCTGTCAGCATCTGACTCAACTTCGAACTTTAAACACATGTAATATATTCAAGTTAGACAAATGTCAGTAGTCACTTGGGTACTCTTTTGAACAGGTAGGATAATTAGTTTCCTGGTAAATCTTGTCTACTACTGAGGAAAGTTAATTAAAAAATGTCTTAAGTAGTTTTCTTATATGGGCCGTTCTGTGGTATTTGGTCCTACTTTCAAAACATTTTCTGATGAAACCATCAAGCATCAGAATCCATAATGATGTTAAGGTTTTGATGATTAATTATGATTTAATAAGAAAGACTAATATAATAATTTGAAAAATGTGTAGCATTTTACTTATTTTATGAACTAAATTTAAGCCTTATGTTACACTCACTCTGTTATAGTCACTTTCATCAGGTTCATCATGGTCACTGTCATCTTTACCAACAGCTTCTAATCTTTCTCGCTTTGGTGTCTTTAGTTTTTCAAACACCAAAGATTGTCTGCGCTTTCTTCCTTCCATTAAGTTGATCCGAGAGCTTTTTCTGTGTGAATCATCCTCTTCTGGTTCTCCTAGTGATTAATTTGTAACTTATTAATGAACATGATTTTATTTTTACAAATCGTTTTTCTTGACTGGAATTCTTGTTTACTGTAGTTTTGGTTTTATAAAATATTATGTACAGTAGTCACAAGAAAAAATCTATACTGTTCTCTCACTGGGTCAGTTTACTACTTTTGCTCCATTTAACTTACAGATTATTTATGGGAGTCATAATATAAAATTCAGAAGTACACAGCATGCAAGATCTTTAAGGAAGTTCAAGTTAGCAAATTGGACAGATGGGTATTTTGTGTGAAAAGTTAGGTTTAGATTTGCATAGGTGACATGTTGCGTTACCACCTTTTTTACCTCCATCTTCATCAGACTGTCTATTTTCCTTTTCTTCTTCGTCGTCGTCAGATAGCTGCAGTCTTCTGCTTTTCTTCTTGGCACTGTGAACGACCTCGTCATCCGAGTCGGAGCTGTTTCTGCATGCACTATCCTCACTATCTGACACGTCTTGGATCCGAATGCGCTTTTTGTGTGCTGAACTACTAGTATTTCCCGGCATCGTGTCACTGTGAAATAGATAGACTCATAGAAACGGACAGACCCATACACACAGATTGAGAGAGAGAAAGAGAGAGAGAGAGAGTCTCAGAGACGAAACCACGGAGTTGCAAAGCAATCAAAGTGTAACAGACACCTTTTCCAAATACTTAAACATGTTAGACATGGGTCTAATGAGAAACATTCCTCTGAACTCGATAAATCAGCCTTTACATTCTATAAATCTAGTTTAACACAATTTTGCTTACCTTCTTACTTACCTCCATCATTTCCCACCAATTTTTTGTTTTGTTAGCGAGATTCTAATAACGCGAGAAATAACGAGACGTCCGCTTCCTGGCTTGTTATACGCATGCGGGAAGAAAGCGACAAGTCTGGCGGTGAAATTTGTTATTTTTTGCAGAAATGTCGGGTAAGGACCTTCTCAAATGACCTATTCTTTATTTTTGTGACCTAGAATTGTACAGTTTAGTTTACACTATAGAACGTGTGAGTTATTGTTGCTCAGTTTGTATTATTTTGGACGCAAAACGTGAGTTTAGGTCGAGGAGATTTGTACCGAGTCAACTGTCAGACAGTGACTGAGAGAAGGAATGAATAAACAAGGACAGTTTTCCTTGTGCCAGTGAATATTTACAAACTGGACGCGTTAATGTTAACATTTCCAAAATAAACATGACCGAGCATAGTGTAAATCTCTCGGGCATTTTGGAAATATTCAGACCAAACCCATTATGTTTTAATCGGTGACTAATTTGTTTCAAATGTCGAAATGATGATATTGATAACGTCAATAATTATAGTATATTTCATTTTTGATTTATACTGGCTAGTTAAGTTTAATAATAGAATCATTAATCAAGTAAATGACAGCTGGTATCATGCTCTACGAGCCTGAGTAGGGGAGGTAGATTTATGGAGGAATGTACATAGGATATGTAGGTATGGTTATAACAATGGTTGACCATAACAATGATGGTATCACACAAGGTGAAATACCTGAGGCTTTGCAATGACATGATAAAGGACGGACCCAGTCTAGTATGTGTGTCAAGACCAAAATGTTATAAAGCCAGGGTTGCTCTCATGACGTGGGTCACTGGACCTGTTGTGTGCAAGTATATGAATGAGTTTGTATAACATACCCTGGCCGCTACTTTTGAAGTTTGTCCCCGTTGATGCCTGTCTCAGATTTCAAAAATGAAGTATTAATCTACAGATAAAACAACGAAGAGTCCTTTTAACAAGTTGCTGCTTGAGATTCTTTTTTGGAAGTGGCAGTTAATAAGGCATAAATGTAGGGAGGATGCTGTCACAGCTATTTTTCAGTGATGAAATTATTGTTTACAGTCTATGGCTTCAGGACAATGCTTATCATATATTTTGGCTTGGGAGAATGATCTCCTGCTATTTTGTTATGCTTGACAAATGCTGTTATGCCTATGCTTTATGGAAGATGCATAAGAAGTTGTTTGGATATTTGGGTACTATAAAAATTGTTAACTTAATCATGTGGTTATTAGTGTTTATGCCATTTGACTTTTGACTTTGTGAATTGACTTATTGTCAATCATCAAAATTTGTAAATGAAGTATAGCATGCATATTAATGTGTATTAGTAATGTGTTATGTAGAGACTGTAAATGTTATTGAACACATCGAATGCCAACTGAATATCATTATTACTTTCATACTAACTGACAGATACAAGCAATTAGATGTGCAAGGGAGAATTCTCTTTGTTGTCATTATTAACTTTAAGTACAACTTCAAGTAAACCATCAAAAAATGTTTGATATAAATAAAGCATGTATCATTTTTGAATGATTGGTGTTTTTCACACTTCCCCTATGCACACAGGATAGTTGAAATTGATTATCTGATTTTATTTTATGGGGATCAATAAATTTGATCCCTGAAAACGAGCTTGAAAAGTTCTTCTTCTAAGGTATTTTTCGACAGAAAAAGAAAGACCCAGAACAGCTGGGATGCCCTGGATTAGATTAACAAGCCAAAGATCTGAGGAGGAAAATTGATTACTCGTCTTTTTTACCCGCAAGTCCATGATTCAATTTAGTCACAAAGATACTTCCTGTAAATTCACACTAGATATGATCAAGGCTGCATTAGGACTGGGCCCAGTTTCACCTAGAATCTTTGAAAAGGGGAGAAAAAGGGCAAAGCTTAGCCTGCTCATGTCAGGTATTTGATCAATAATGTGGACTAAGCAACCTTAGCAGAACATTGTCCTTAGACATAGGAATGCCCATGTCTGATTGTAAACCTTAACTGGTTCTAAGTTACAACTCCATTGAAATGGCCCTAATTTAATGATTTTTTTTACAAGAAGACTTGACTTTAGGCTGATATAAGATAGTTGGCCCTGTTTTGAAATATCACTAGAAAAACTTATTATCACTAGACAGGTCTAGAACTGATTCCAAGTTATAATTCTAGTGGTAGGCACTGATAAAAAACTGATTATAGACTAGCTAACTAGTCTAGAACTGATTCCAGATCACAATTCTAGTGATTTGGTCTGATATAGGACTGACCATAGACTAGTCCAGAATTAGCTCCAAATTACAATTTTATTGATAGGTTCGTATAAAGAACTTACTGTAGACTGATTCTAGAACTGGCACCAAATTACTGCTGTTCAGTGGGGAGTGAATCAGCCCTGTTATTGATGTCTCACTGGAAGATGTATCTCAGTATGTAATAACATATGGACAGTGCCTCAGGCTGATGCATGCTATACTTCATTTACACTTAAAGGTATTCATCTAATTCTGCTGCCAAGATCATTTCAGGCATTCCAGCTCCCATTATAACAAGGTCCAACTGTTAGCTAACAGGAGTTAATTAGAATACACATGTCACTTTAGATGTGTTTATATTATAGATATTCCATTTATAAAAAAATAAATAAATAAAACAAAAAAAAAAGTGATATTCAGAAAGTGTCTATAAAACAGCATGCGGTGTTTAGAGTCATTTTGAAAATTGAATGACGCAAATGTCATGTTTCATGTTGTTCAAAGGTCATAAAACTTGTCCCTTAATATGCCATTAATGTATTTCATTTTTAGCAAAGATTTAAAAAGAATGATACCAGAAAGGCTTAATCGAGAAGAATGGGATTAATATCTTGAAACAAAAAATGACAACCTCAAGTCAAACCCAGTGTGCAGTGATTGAACTTCCTGTTTTTGATTTTTAAGTGGCAAATATTTCTGATAATTTTTTAAACAGGAAACACAGCAGTGATCATCTTCCTGTTTAGTAAACTGAGGGGAAATGTGGACAAAACTCTTCAGATAAGCAGCAGGGAGAGATTAAGATAATAACAGTGTCACATGCTTTTTAAAACCCTGGGAATATCCATGTCATTGTATTTTTTAAATTTGTCAAATATACTCTTGAAAAAGAAATTGATTTATATGATGATTATATGATTATATGATGGTTGGTTTAGTATTGGGTAAGCAAAAGTGAGTAGTTGGGCCAGAATGATATAATAGATATGAAAGTGACACAGAAGAACTGAGGCACTGCATAATAGTTTAATTGAATTTCTTATAATAATAGCCTAAGAGGAACTGCCTCCTTTCAAATGCCACTGAGTTTCATTTCTATTTAGTTTTGTATTATCTCAATATATACAAAAGAAATATTAAAATTGAAAAGAAGAAAGGAATACTCTAAAATGTATGTGGGGTGGGGGGAGATTTATCTTTCCTTCATATGAATTCAGATCATATCAATATGGCTTGCTTGGAATTTTGCCTTTGCCTGGGAGCCAAACATTCAGAGGCATTTAAATATGGCACAGAATAAAAATTACATCACAAACATGATGTAGGCAGCTCAACTTTGTCACAGAAGAGGACACTTGATATATCAGAGTGTCACATTGGAATGTTCCATTGGGGACTTTTACCTAATGGCTGCTTGCTACCTGGTCACTTGGCTTTCCGTGAGTGCTTCTGGTCTTACAATGAAAATGTTTGCCAGTGGCAGTAGCTGAAGGTAATGATTAATTTGAATTAATAGGGTTAAATTAGTAGGCACATAAAATGGCCCATTTGGGTTCATATTTCCTGGCGTAAAAAAGCAAGAGGTGTAATGCTTGCTGTATCTTACGGCCTAAGTTAATATGTAGTAGTTGTGACAACAGGGCTTTGACATTCAGCTCAAAGCACCAGGGCTCGTCTGTACTGAAAGTATGATTGGAATTAAAACAAAAGCTGATGAAACATCAATAATGCTTTGTCTGAAATTTATCCTCTTCATAAAATGATACCACACTTATTGCATTGATTATGTTGCCAGAAATTTGAAATAAGATAATACACAGGTTCAGATTAATTTGATAATTAGGGCATAATATGTTGGAACCATATGCTCTTTAGTTTGATATGAAAGGGAGGAAATGTCAGTGTTTCAGAGCATAAATGGCACATTTATGAGGACTTGAAATTATAGTAATATAGTACGTGTGAACAGTTACTCACTATTAAGAGTCGATCATATCCTCCTTTCCCCTAAAATCATTATGATTGATTTTGCATTTGTTGCACAATGAATGGTGGAGATGGTCAGACATTGCAAACATATATTGTTTGATGGTACAGACGTAAGATAGGTCATCACAACTGCATGGAAAATACAACTTTATCTTTGTGTCATTGTTGTCCCATTGCATGGCTAAAAACAAAGAAAAAAACTTTGAAGTTGAGATAAAATGAAATTGCATAATTAATACTTGTGAAATGTCCCAAAGCATATTTCTTTGTCTGTCGAGTGTGTGCTACTTGCCTGGCTTATCTTATCTTTTAGTGCATTGGTTATTAGTCATCTAGCAAATTATTCCGCTTAAATTGAACTCAGGGGGATTTTGCAGGCGCGAAGTTGTTTGTATGGCCACTTTATTTGTGTGGCTTTTTAACTATGGAGATAAGTCAAGTAAATGGCATGGAAAAAGAAAGATTAGTCTACCATACGTTCAGAAAAATCATTTAGAAAATGTTTTTTTTTTTTTTGTCTTTTTTCATTGTGGTTGGTTTGTGTCTATTTGTTAGCAGACAAGGTATCTTTTAAAATTGTCCACAAATTTTGATGAATTTACCTGGATGGACAAAGAAGCAATGACGACTTAAACTTAAGTTTTATTATATATTTTTTATTTTTAAAAATTTTTAAACACCTTTTCCTTGATTGGGGGTCTGCAACCTCTCTGGTTTATAAAAGTGAATTTGATGGACCAGTAATAGATTGATTTTTCAATTGTAACT